TGATAATTGATGCGGCCAGAGAGGCAGTAATAGGGAAACCTTTTCCCCTCCCTGACTGCGATTCAAACGGGGAAAAAAAAAGGTTAGGTCTGGAAAATCGTGCAATGGAGGTAGTACGCCCATTTGCCAGTGTCGGATTCACGGTGTAAGAGTACTTTGACGGTTTTGCCCTCTAAAGCGAAAAATAAAGCCTTATCAACTTTATAATAGCTCTCACATATCAAATTGACGATAAAGAGCAAAACACATATCGGTGTATAAAAGAACTCTCGAAAGAGTGATAAACCGAGGGTCCGCAATAGTCTCTCTCGGTAAAAACTTGCATAATAAGCGTACGGGTTCAGGCCCCGTCGAATACAACCTGGATAATAAGGAGTGGGAACAGGCCCCACTTATCAGGGAGCTAGAGGAGTTCGAAGATGTCTGGATCAGACCACGTATTAACGCGGGAAGTACCCAAGACCGTACTCCCCTCAACACGGCCCGTGGAAGCAATGGCTGCCATGATATCCCAACCCCTCCCACAAGTCAGATCAACGACTCTGAGGCTGGGGGTGATGCAGGCAGGCATGGACATCGCAACCAAAGTTGGCTCAAAAACCCAGTCATATACATCTTGGGATTGTGCGTCTCGGTAATTTGTGGCATCCTTCTACTATTCTGGAGTAGGAGTTGCGCAAGGCCGACCACGCAGAGCATTGGTGGGCGAGGGAGAAGATCTGCCGGAACCGGACGTTCCGACAGAGGTGGACGAGAAGGAATGGGAGGACACGGACATAGACATGTTCGAAGACGGAAAAAAGGTGTTCTACCGCGCGGTGGGTCTGGTGACCAGGAAGCAGCTGGCGACAACAAGGGTGCAAAGGCTAATCCTGGGGAATGGTGCGCATGAGCGTGTCAGGAGAGCACAACAGCCCCCCGTCCACAGACCACTACCATCAGCTTCCAAAGCAGGGAGAGCAGTCACAGGAGGCACACCAACAACAGCGGCATTTACATCACCGGGAGGCATCGATGCATACTATGCAGACCTGACCCAGGATGAAGCTCAATTCCTGGCCGACTGGAGTCCACCAGACCGAGACGGTTAAACGTTGACAATTGGTATAAAGGAAGGATTAGAGCTTACCAACGAAATACCCAGACTGATTATGATGAATCAGTGTTCAATAATTTGAGACCATCTGTGAGGTTTGCAGAATCTGTAAACTCAGGTGTAGCCGGGTGCTTCCAATTTAAGCGGTTAGTGTTTACTCTAATAAGAGAATTGGCAACTACAGAGGACCATCCCCTCCATGAAGCGGCCAAGATAACTATGGGTTATTTCAGAATGGCAGAGTTGACTTCCTTCAGCATGGTCGTTGAGTCAACCTTACACAGAACTCTATCCAATTATCTTGGAAAGGAGTCAATAAATATCTTGCATACTTCAAGGCAGCTCTAGATAAATTTAGATCGCTGGGGCCAGATGCACCTTATTGCAAATTATAATATGCACCAGAGGAACTGACCGACTTCAAGGGGGAAAGGATAGGTGTGCTCACAAATATCGCCCACGACATAGCTACGTTTGATGGGAGATCAACCTTGGCCAATCTTCGTGGCACTTGTACTTTTCCTTTGAAGTCTCAATATATTGCAACCATACGGAGGATCATCACATTATACAGCAGCGCAATCACTCATTCAGTAGCCCATTCACGAATAGGAGGATTCGCGAGATTAGACCCAGATAGTGCGATGGCGATTGCACTCAATTCTCCTGCTGAAGAAGATGAGAGTGTTGTGCCAGGCTCAGATGATCAGCTAGTCCTATTCCTGGTGTAGACCCTGTAAAAGTGAACTAGACCGAAAGCTTATCGGTATTGTTACTCAGTCATGGACTCATTATATAATCAAAGTAATCTTTAACACGGGCAGCATAAGCTTGCTCTCTTTAGCATCGTAGTCGATTAAAGAATGTCATATCAATTAAACCCAAGAGTCTATTAATAAAAAATTGTGTATATTAAATCATTTATAAATAAACGAGAAAGAAAGACTTTGTATTAAAATGTTGTTCTTAATTATGTTTATAATTTATAATATGTATTTATTTTTAATTGTTTAATGATAATTAATGCGGCCAGAGAGGCAGTAATAGGGAAACCTTTTCCCCTCCCTGACTGCGATTCAAACGGGGAAAAAAAAGGTTAGGTCTGGAAAATCGTGCAATGGAGGTAGTACGCCCATTTGCCAGTGTCGGATTCACGGTGTAAGAGTACTTTGACGGTTTTGCCCTCTAAAGCGAAAAATAAAGCCATATCAACTTTATAATAGCTCTCACATATCAAATTGACGATAAAGAGCAAAACACATATCGGTGTATAAAAGAACTCTCGAAAGAGTGATAAACCGAGGGTCCGCAATAGTCTCTCTCGGTAAAAACTTGCATAATAAGCGTACGGGTTCAGGCCCCGTCGAATACAACCTGGATAATAAGGAGTGGGAACAGGCCCCACTTATCAGGGAGCTAGAGGAGTTCGAAGATGTCTGGATCAGACCACGTATTAACGCGGGAAGTACCCAAGACCGTACTCCCCTCAACACGGCCCGTGGAAGCAATGGCTGCCATGATATCCCAACCCCTCCCACAAGTCAGATCAACGACTCTGAGGCTGGGGGTGATGCAGGCAGGCATGGACATCGCAACCAAAGTTGGCTCAAAAACCCAGTCATATACATCTTGGGATTGTGCGTCTCGGTAATTTGTGGCATCCTTCTACTATTCTGGAGTAGGAGTTGCGCAAGGCCGACCACGCAGAGCATTGGTGGGCGAGGGAGAAGATCTGCCGGAACCGGACGTTCCGACAGAGGTGGACGAGAAGGAATGGGAGGACACGGACATAGACATGTTCGAAGACGGAAAAAAGGTGTTCTACCGCGCGGTGGGTCTGGTGACCAGGAAGCAGCTGGCGACAACAAGGGTGCAAAGGCTAATCCTGGGGAATGGTGCGCATGAGCGTGTCAGGAGAGCACAACAGCCCCCCGTCCACAGACCACTACCATCAGCTTCCAAAGCAGGGAGAGCAGTCACAGGAGGCACACCAACAACAGCGGCATTTACATCACCGGGAGGCATCGATGCATACTATGCAGACCTGACCCAGGATGAAGCTCAATTCCTGGCCGACTGGAGTCCACCAGACCGAGACGGTTAAACGTTGACAATTGGTATAAAGGAAGGATTAGAGCTTACCAACGAAATACCCAGACTGATTATGATGAATCAGTGTTCAATAATTTGAGACCATCTGTGAGGTTTGCAGAATCTGTAAACTCAGGTGTAGCCGGGTGCTTCCAATTTAAGCGGTTAGTGTTTACTCTAATAAGAGAATTGGCAACTACAGAGGACCATCCCCTCCATGAAGCAGCCAAGATAACTATGGGTATTTCAGAATGGCAGAGTTGACTTCCTTCAGCATGGTCGTTGAGTCAACCTTACACAGAACTCTATCCAATTATCTTGGAAAGGAGTCAATAAATATCTTGCATACTTCAAGGCAGCTCTAGATAAATTTAGATCGCTGGGGCCAGATGCACCTTATTGCAAATTATAATATGCACCAGAGGAACTGACCGACTTCAAGGGGGAAAGGATAGGTGTGCTCACAAATATCGCCCACGACATAGCTACGTTTGATGGGAGATCAACCTTGGCCAATCTTCGTGGCACTTGTACTTTTCCTTTGAAGTCTCAATATATTGCAACCATACGGAGGATCATCACATTATACAGCAGCGCAATCACTCATTCAGTAGCCCATTCACGAATAGGAGGATTCGCGAGATTAGACCCAGATAGTGCGATGGCGATTGCACTCAATTCTCCTGCTGAAGAAGATGAGAGTGTTGTGCCAGGCTCAGATGATCAGCTAGTCCTATTCCTGGTGTAGACCCTGTGAAAGTGAACTAGACCGAAAGCTTATCGGTATTGTTACTCAGTCATGGACTCATTATATAATCAAAGTAATCTTTAACACGGGCAGCATAAGCTTGCTCTCTTTAGCATCGTAGTCGATTAAAGAATGTCATATCAATTAAACCCAAGAGTCTATTAATAAAAAATTGTGTATATTAAATCATTTATAAATAAACGAGAAAGAAAGACTTTGTATTAAAATGTTGTTCTTAATTATGTTTATAATTTATAATATGTATTTATTTTTAATTGTTTAATGATAATTGATGCGGCCAGAGAGGCAGTAATAGGGAAACCTTTTCCCCTCCCTGACTGCGATTCAAACGGGGAAAAAAAAAGGTTAGGTCTGGAAAATCGTGCAATGGAGGTAGTACGCCCATTTGCCAGTGTCGGATTCACGGTGTAAGAGTACTTTGACGGTTTTGCCCTCTAAAGCGAAAAATAAAGCCTTATCAACTTTATAATAGCTCTCACATATCAAATTGACGATAAAGAGCAAAACACATATCGGTGTATAAAAGAACTCTCGAAAGAGTGATAAACCGAGGGTCCGCAATAGTCTCTCTCGGTAAAAACTTGCATAATAAGCGTACGGGTTCAGGCCCCGTCGAATACAACCTGGATAATAAGGAGTGGGAACAGGCCCCACTTATCAGGGAGCTAGAGGAGTTCGAAGATGTCTGGATCAGACCACGTATTAACGCGGGAAGTACCCAAGACCGTACTCCCCTCAACACGGCCCGTGGAAGCAATGGCTGCCATGATATCCCAACCCCTCCCACAAGTCAGATCAACGACTCTGAGGCTGGGGGTGATGCAGGCAGGCATGGACATCGCAACCAAAGTTGGCTCAAAAACCCAGTCATATACATCTTGGGATTGTGCGTCTCGGTAATTTGTGGCATCCTTCTACTATTCTGGAGTAGGAGTTGCGCAAGGCCGACCACGCAGAGCATTGGTGGGCGAGGGAGAAGATCTGCCGGAACCGGACGTTCCGACAGAGGTGGACGAGAAGGAATGGGAGGACACGGACATAGACATGTTCGAAGACGGAAAAAAGGTGTTCTACCGCGCGGTGGGTCTGGTGACCAGGAAGCAGCTGGCGACAACAAGGGTGCAAAGGCTAATCCTGGGGAATGGTGCGCATGAGCGTGTCAGGAGAGCACAACAACAGCCCCCCGTCCACAGACCACTACCATCAGCTTCCAAAGCAGGGAGAGCAGTCACAGGAGGCACACCAACAACAGCGGCATTTACATCACCGGGAGGCTTCGATGCATACTATGCAGACCTGACCCAGGCATGTTTTTAAAAAAGAAACAATAAATGTATATGGGTACGAGTATCCCATATGGTTGTATATGCATAACCAGGTACCCACATAAACCCTTTAGCTTCTGACCCATTTGCCTAGTAGACACTCCGGGTAAGTTGAGGTGGCCTGTGGCCAGTAAGAGATGATGGACTTGAAAATATATTCGATCATGAGGGTCAGACAGGGAGTTGCTCGTTATAGAGGAAAGGACATCGAAGACCGTGACGTGTGAGGTTCCCTAGGGCTCACTAATTGCAACGACCCTGTGGGGAAGTTGCATAAGATTATCTACTGGAAATGGAAGTTCCTAAGGGCGTCCAGCCGGGTGAAAATAAAAAACATACAAAATGCATTTAGGAAACAATACAAAAGAAAGGAGTATCTCCACTGCCCGCAGAGTCATCCAAAATGTAAAATCAGAGAATAGTGAAAGTGAGTATGCCCCAGAAGACTTTTTCTGTTTACCAGTTGCTAAAAAGAAATCAAAAAAATCCTCATGCATGGAAGAAATTGAATTGTATTTGAAGTCCAACTGTCAAGATTTATCTTTGCTACATACACACCCAGCAGTATTAAAAGTTTTTTTGGAGTATAACACACCAATCCCGTCGAGCGCACCAGTTGAAAGGCTTTTTTCCACAGGGTCAAATGTTATGACGGTAAAAAGAAACAAGTTGAGTGATTCATTGTTTGAAAAATTAGTTCTTCTCAAACAAAACAAAATGTCAGTGTAAAAATATTTTTTCAAATAAATTGAATTAAAAAAAAAAAAAACAGATTGTTGTATTATACTATGTCCTATACTCCTATGGGCTATAAGACTATAACCTATAGCATGTCTCTATGTGTGGTGTATCGTGTATAGTACACACTATACACTGTATACTATACTACTATAGTAATATACATGTATAATATTATGCAATGATGCAATATGAATGTATATATATATATACAAGCAGCATTCTCTATCCACAGAGGGAGTACCCGATCGAACACTTACAGTATTCTCTATCCACACAAGAGAGTTGTATCAACCTCCAGGATGCTATAGCAATGGAAATATTGTATATATATAAATATAATTTATTAGATAAACATTCACCTCATAGATAAGAGTATTTCGGCCATTTTGTTGGCTTCATAATTATTACATTGTAGGAATAGGGAGTCGCCTATCTAGTATTTTTATATATCTGTGTGCAAAACACTATTTCTACATCATCGCGGGCGTGGCGCGGGCGTAGTGCAATTTTCAGCAAACTGTAGCGCTGTTTGTTTTGATTGACCTGTTAACACTGGTTCTGATTTGAAATTTTCAACTGTTTAATCAAGTGTTTTTCTTGAGTTTTGCCGATTTTCGTTATTTTTATTGTTTAACTTTCAAGTTAACTCATTTTTACCTTGCAAAACCTTTAATTTTGGCTTAGTTGAAAAGCGAAAAATGAAGAAGAACATGAATAAAAATAATTATATTATACAATAATATATTGTATGATATACGATTTACTAAAGAGAATGTTTCAAGGATTTTGCAATTAAATGATCCCGTGGAAGAATTAGTTATTCAGATGAAAAATATATACACACGACCTAGTGCATTATGTCAGGCCTGTGATATTTCAAGGTATCTTGGAAAGAAAATGCCGTTACCCAAAGATACAAAAATAAGCAGTGTTGAAGATTATTTATCCCGCATCGATGTCCAAGAATTGAAAAAAAAACTTAAGTTCACTGGTCTTTGTTTAATAGCAAATTTGAAAATTAAAGCAGTCAAACAATTGGCAATGGGATGGTTATCTTCTTCTGCCGAAACTGAGGTAATACGATTTTATTTTTACATATTATTTTATACTAAATAAACAAATTTTTTTTAGTCTGAAGTAAACAGACCGATGACGAGGGCATTCGTAGCACGTGAAACCGCAAAAGCAGCCCGCAGATTAAGTTTTCGCTAATAATGTAATATTTTATTGTAATATGACATTTTTTTTTTATGTAATTTTCATATTTTTGTCAATTATTTAAAAACGCGAACCACTTATGTAATAAATTTAATGTATCATTTTCAGTGTTTGAAATATATTTATTTCTCAGTTTTTAAAATAAAATTATTTTTCGGTGTATAAAATAAATATGGCCGGACCAATCGAAAATATGGCTAACATTTGGAATAAGAAACCTTTTAAATATTGACTTATAAAGAATGAAGGATAACAAAAACTATATTTTATGCTCATTATGTGTTTATTTTAAGTTTAACTTAAACTATTTAAAACATATAATTTCATGAATTAATAAAATCACGTATGATATTATGTTTTTAAAAAAGAGAAAGTATTTGTAAAATTAATTGCGGTTCACAATTGATGAACTCTGTTTGAATTGTATCAATATAATTTTGAAATATATCATTTTTTAGCAGTTGCATGTAGTAACATATTAATACCAACATACCAATTGACTTAATAAAAGATTATTTGATAGGTATATTATATCAAAAAACATACTATAAACAAAATTAATTATATATACAATTGATAAACTACTTGTTAAATATTCTTTACTACACATTTGATTATAAGGCTATTAACATTTGATAGCTTATACAACGTGTATCCTCCTTATTAAATATTTTGTAGACATATAAAATGTATGTGTATTGTGTTCATTCAATTTGGCAATTATGAGCTTTGAGATGGTTAGATCGCGCCAGGGGCTCATACATATGCATTTATTGAATAATATAATATATAATTATTTAGAACTTGGCCATGATTGTTCAATGGCAAACTCACAGTTATCGTACACAATATTACACTTCACGTGTATTTCATTATTTTTTTCTCATTAAAAACAACATGTATACCATTGTAAATGCAAAGGCGGTAGAAAAGAACAAGTAGCTATTAAAAGTATATACAACTAATGATTCATGTATTGATATAATCAAATAAATATTAAAAAACGTTGAATTACAAACAAATATTTTAAATGTAATTAATGTAAAAATCTTTAATTCATAATTCAGACACAAAAGATATCATACGTTATTTTTTCCAATAATTAAATATGTTATTCATAATTATGATTCAGTAAAATGTGAACTTTTAAAATACCAAAGTAAACAAGCATAAAATTATTATAATATTATAACTTAACGTAATAGTTTCCTCCATTCTTAAATAAAATAAAGAAACAAATTTGTAATAAAGAAATTAAATGACAATGCTGATCTTATAAATCTTAATCAATACAATATTTCTATTAGGCATTTTATAATAATATGAAATTTTATATAACATTTTAATTTTTAATCTATCGACTGCATTTTAAGTTAATAGGTAAGTACTATATTATATTTTGTATGTTTTATTTTTGAAATTATTGATTTCATAATAAAATATTTTACTTTGTTTGACAATGTGATCACAATGAACGATAATATGTCACTATGACATTGTATTTTAGTTATTTTATGTATAATGCACCTAGATCAGTATGTCGAGAAAACGAGCACATGCAAAGGTCAATTTGGTTAAAAATTCTAGTCAACCTGCACAATATATACTTGAAGATGATTACCCTTTGAAAAGTGATGAGTTTATGAATCGATGTCCCAGTTAATGTATGAGTATGTAATATAGATAATAAAATAATAAACATACATGATTACCATAATAACAAAAAGAATTAAATTTATTACGTGGCGAAGATTCGCCAACGGCGGCTCCGTAACAAACAATTGGGGCATGCGCACTGAATGTTGTAGGTGGTGTGGTATTTCCCTCCTCCTACATCGCCACGACAATCACAGATAGACGAATGGCTTCGATCTTTATCACCTATCTCTTCAAGTATGCTAAACATAGTGCGGCCCCAGGTACTGCCGGATTTTGACATACTAATATTCGGGAGGTTATTAAATACCACTCAACCCAGCCAGAGAGTAACTGATTGTTCTGAGGATGGTTATAATGACATCCTGGCACTTCACATGTTAGCACTTGAAGAAGAATGGTATGAGGACGGAGCTAACGAGGTATTGAATCGCCATATGGAAGCGTATGAAAGCCGTGAAGGTAAATTACGCAAAAATTAATTAAGCAATTTCACACTAAACTTTGAAAGCCGTAAGTTTATTCAAATTGGTATTGACCCGACATATAGTTTCAAAGTCGTTATACTTGTAATGACTCCATCGCGTTATATTCAAATTACACCGGACTTGTCAAAGCAGATATTTGATTTCATGGGTCATATGATATCTTTCATATTGGACCAATTGTGACAGTGATCGCCGTGATTCTGGCAGTGATAAGGGAAATTGTGACTCTTTTGTCGGTGAAAGTGGTGGCGGTCATCACGGCGGCAATCGTAGGTTTCGGCATCCCGTTGTGGATGCTATATCCATATATTATTATGACGCGAAACACCAGAGAAGATGTTGCGGATAGTCATCTCCACGCTTATTTTGAATATTTATTAGATGACGGCGGAGCGGAACACCAGAGAAGATGTTGCGGATAGTCATCTCTACACTTATTTTAAATATTTATTAGATGGCGGCGGAGAGGATGGCGGAAATGACGGCGAAGAGGGAGATGCAGTGGCGGGTACTATAGCTATTCATGACTATTGACTATATTATTATCTATGTTATTATGCACCTACTAGGCTTAGGCTTTTTCGAGCTATTATTGTTGTAATTTTACAGTCGAAAATTGACTGACGTTTATGTTTATTATCTGCTCTCTAAATATATTAAATTACCTCAGGTTTTGTAATTTTTGTATACATTTTAGTATAATGTTTACGTTTTTCGATTTATAAATTATTTTACTATGTATATAGGATAAAAAGGAATTTGTCTTGGTTTTACCTTAAAACAAAAGAGAAGTTTAACATCGTGAAAAGCGAATAACTTCATTTTGACGAGAAATACATGATGATTATATAAAATATATTGCACAGCTCATTTTTTTTTTTGTTATACA